GTGGGCACTTGTTATTAGAAAATTGCTCTGTTGTGCTATTATTATATGCCTCATATACTCTGGATTTTTGTACCCCTTTTTAGACTGGACCATGGGAACTCTTCACAGGGTTCCAAAGAATAAGAATATGGTGTCCTACTCACTCATTCAAAAAGAATTTTTTTTTTTTGAATGCCTACTCTGAGCCTCCCAGTGTTTTCCATGACCCCTCCTAGAGCTTATCTTCTCAAGGGGAGAGGCAGACAGTAAACAAAAGAAGTACGTAAACAAAGGATAACTTATTGTCAATCTCACGAAAAACTTCAGTCAGGCAAAGGAGATACAGGCAGTTATGGGAGGGATGCAATTTTAAATAGAGTAGCAACAAAAGACCTCACTAAGAGAGTGACTTTTGAGTAAAGAGCTGAAAGAGGTGAGAGAGAGAGCCTTACAAAGGAAAAGACTTTTGATGGACAGCAAGGAGACTAAAGTGACTGGGTAGAAACTGGTAGGAGATGGAAGAGAGAACAGGGTAGGTGTAGGAACCGGCTCACGTAAGACCTTTGAAACCGTGGTAAGATTTGGCTTTTACTCTGAGTGGTATGGAAAGCTCTTGGATGGTTTTGAGCAAAAGCATAAACTTATGTTTTGATAAAACAGATCTGGGTTAGAAAGAGCCTGAGGGGAATCAGAATTAGAATCAGGGAGCCCAGACAGGAAGTGATAGTAACAGGTTCCAGTGGCTCAGACCAGAAAGATAGCAGTGGGGTGGTGAGAAGTGGTCTAATTCTGGATTTACTCTGCAGGTTGAGCTAACAATATTTGCTGATGAATTTGATGCTGGTGATTTGCATGTTCAATGCAGAGTTTCACCTTGAGAGACATTAAAATCCACCTTGCATATGAACTGCATGGCTGTGCTTAACAGGAAGAGATATGAGCAAATTCTAACTTAGAAACACACCTTTCTGGGAAAAATGAAAAATTTAAATCACTCTTTTAAACATGTGGTTATATATTCTTTTCTAAGAGCTAAAGAGATAGGGAGTCTGAGATTTAACAACAATCCTTACAGGCTTCCTTTAAAAGGATTCAAATTTAATCTCAATAATAAAGTATCACTTCACCTAAAGCATAATATGGTCATTGAAATGCTGAAGAAAATGTTTTTAGTTTGGAGGTGGGGATGATTAAGGAAAAAAGATATCAAGATGTGGCTTACCCACTACACACTCCTTCCTTCATTCTTTTTAACGACACCAGGCAAAGCTCCGATTTTAAAGAATCCTTGCTTCTTCTGGAGAAAGTGTCCCTTGGTTCCTCATACCAGCCTTGACATACAATCAAGTCCATGTGTGGGAGGTCCACATTCCACACAGCAGCCCTGTCTGGGTCCCGGAGATGAAGGAGCAGTGCAGCCCTTTCACTGGTACTTCAGTTCACTCTGAATTTCTTTCAACTGCTGGCAGTTTGGAAACCAAATATGCCTCAGCTAGGAGTGGGGAGTGAGATTCCTGCCTTTTTTCTTCCTGAATACTCACCTTATCTTTGTCTCCATTTTGTGAAAATCAAATATCATTTGGTTTCCAAAAATATTTATCTTGGAGCATTGGGAGAATTCCTTGGTGGTGAGAAAGCACTATTTCAAAGAAGGCAGAGAATAAATCTGATGATACTGACGTCCCAGGCAATTGCATGACTCCAGTTGCCAAAGGCAGACCCAGACCTTCTGTGGCCTCCTTGTTTAGTTGGGGTCCTTCAGGAAAAGATCTTATTTGGCGGTATTCCAAGAGGAAGCCGATTAAAGTCCAGTGGGAGCTACAATGCTTTAATTTCAATTACCAATGAAATCAACACTCAGTGGCCATGCCAGAAGGGCTGAAGAAGTGGCAAATTAATATTCATTCCCATCAAATATATAAAGATGCCCTCACTCTTGAAAGAACATTTGAAACTTGGTGATCAATAGACAAATATGAGAGTCCAGACTTTTAGGTTAACTCCCCTACCCCTACCCCTACCTGATGCTTGTGGCTACGCAGAGAACAAGCAATTCTCAGGAAGCTGAGACCAGAAAGATCCAAATTCCAGTCCTCCAGCACCTTGGCTGAAGATAGCAAATGGGATTTCTCAGACCTGGAAATGCGTTGGCATATATTTTTCTCTTTTCTTCTCCTTTGTCTGTTCATATTGCATTAAGCTTTGCTCCTGAATTTGCTGTTATGAGAAAGCTATTGTTCTTCCCACCTACCACAGATTTTGGAAGCAAAATCTACAGGCCACCTGTAACTCTAACTCTAGTTGCTACAACCTGAACCTGAGCGATGTGAATTGTAAGTACTGAAGCTCCAAGTGTTTAGTTATGGTTCATTTATAACTAAACACACTAGTATTTAGTGGAACAAAAAAGGTCATTAGTGTCTTACTAGGAAGCAATTAAATTAACAGCTCAAAGCCATTCATCAGATCACAAAACAGATGCTAAACTTTTCTGTAGGAAATGAGATTCTGTAATGAAGGAAAAGAACTAAATTCAAAACACAGCAAAACACACCCACCTCCCTCAGCTGCTCTCAAAACAAAAAATCCACCTCTTTCATCTGCAGCCAGAGTCCCAGAGCTCTTTACATTTCAGAGAGAGGCCCAGAAAAACACTGAAAATGTCAACCAGAACAACTCCCCAGGCTGACTCTTTCCCCTACCGCCCACCAACAGCATTTCCTCAACTGTGTGCTCTTCTTGGGCAGTCAATGAGGAGTATGATTATTATCCTATAATAAAAAAAGATGTTCAAATTGTGCGCTGTGAAATGTGATACTGATTAAGTGGTATATGCTCCCTGAAAATAACCTTTAAGTTTAGATTATATTTGATAGACATTTAAAACACATATATTGAGTATATGCTGTATACTTGGAATGAAATGGGACTAAATACTAAGATTAATAAACCATGGTCCTGACCTTGAGGAATATGCCCTAAGGAATGCAATAGAAGCACATCAACAGAAAGACCATGGGCTCTAGTGGCAGAAAAACAGAATTCTGGTCCTGTCATTGTCATTGACTAGTCAATTCACTTCGGGAAATTAGCTCAACTGCCTAAGCTTCAGTAGCATCATATGTTAAATGGAAATAATACTTAGTTCATGGAGCTGTTGTAAAGATCAAATGGGAAAATGATGAATCAGCAAGAATTAGAGGGCACATTCAGATTAGGATAATTTGAGAAGAGATGAACAAAGTTACCCTTTTAAAAAGTGTGAGCTTGATATTAGAAGACCACAAGAGACAATGCAGTACTCCATGGCTGGTTTAGCGGGTGATGGCCAAGGAGGTGAAGGCAGTTGACAGAATGCTGAAGTATAGAGGGCAGTGTAGAGAGGGCAGCCTGACAGAATTAGGGCTCCTGGTGGCCTTCACAGCGAGCTGACATGGTTCTTTCCTTCCTTTCCCCAGTTCTCTGCCAGGGCTCCGCCATTGGCTTAACTCAAGGTTGTCAACTGAGGTGGCACATACGGCTCATTCTCCAAATATACAGAGCAGGGTGGAGGCTGGAGAAAGAATCTTCTAGAAAGGCCAACATATAATACCCAGCCCAAATGATTTGTAAAATCTAGGTTACATAATAGTATGAATGATCCTAATACTATTGAGTTCTTTCTCTATATGGACTGTGCTAAATGCAATGTATGCACTTCATCTTCTAATTCTGTAAGAAAGGTACAATCATTATCTTCAGACTCTATATGAAGAATCTGAGGCAAAGCAATGGTAAATAACTTTAAAAAGCTAAGTGAAGTAGGAATTCACACCCAAATCTGACTCCAGAGTTTACACCTGCTATGATGTACCATCTCCCACACAATGGATAAGTACTGATTAATTGATGCAGTTAAGGTTTTCCACAGCATTTAATCTTTACTCTTAACTTCAAAAAGTCTCTAGTTTCTCTTGCAATACAATCCAAGTTCCTCACCTTCAGGTCTGGGCAGCCCCACATTCTCCTGGATAAGCACTTAAGGAGGCCATTAACTCAAATCACTCATATACTGTGAGTGCTCTTTTGAAAAGCAGTGTGAGAAGATAAGACTGAAGTTATTGTTATAGGCATACTACCACATCAAGACTGTCACATTCCCCACTCTGCTATTAACCCAATATGACTGTGGACAAAGCTGTTCCTTCCCTCAGCTTGTTTCCTCACCAGTAAATTGGCAAAGCCAAGGAAAAAGGGCAAGTTCAGTGAGGTGATCTTAAGGCTCCCCACTCTAAGATTCTGTACATTTATTACGTTTTACAAGGTATTAAATACTCATGGAGTATATATATTCTTTTAATGTTTTGTTGTAATAGGCTTCCTCTGTTGATGTGTTCAGAATAGAGTTTAGCATTGATGAGATTATGGCTGATTTTTTTCTGATACATCCCTTTACCAATATCCATGATACATCATCAGAAATAAAGCAGAAACCTTATATGTAACCCAAAGATGAAAAGAAATATGTGGAATGAGAATAAAGAGTTAATGTTTATTAAGTATTGTACTGTGTGCTATACAGGTTTTATGCAATTTCATAAAGCAATAATTATTAAGAGTTAGGACAGGGCTTCCCTGGTGGCGCAGTGGTTGAGAGTCTGCCTGCCGGGGACGTGCAGGGGACGTGGGTTCGTGCCCTGGTCCAGGAAGATCCCACATGACGCAGAGCGGCTGGGCCCATGAGCCATGGCCGCTGAGCCTGCGCGTCCGGAGCCTGTGCTCCGCAACGGGAGAGGCCACAACAGTGAGAGGCCCGCGTACCGAAAAGAAAAAAAAAAAAGGGTTAGGACATAGCACCAATTGTTTTTTACTAACTGGCTGATGTTGAGAGACAGTTCTACATAGATCTCTAGCATTTCTTCATGTTTTGTGAGAGTGGTATCTTTCAAGGATGTGGTACAACACAGAATGACAGAGATAGTGACTCTTCCGGATCAGAGGTTAGGTTTGCTTACTGCTTATTATAAAAGATTCAAATCCTTAAGCTTAGGGCTCCTCAGCTGTGACACAGAGCCGCAGTGTGAACATAGAGCATCCACCTGGGCAAGCTCCACACCACTCCCATGAGGCTGGTAAGTAGGGGAAGGGGACAAGGAGAAATGGGGCAAATATGATGTTCATGAAGATTGCTGTGCCATGAGAATACAGTTCTTTGTTTCTGACTCAGGAGTCTTATGTCTCTGCCAGCATCCATGAAACTATGGAAGGATAACTTGCTAGCTTGCCAATAGGGTAAAACCTGAGACCCACCCCCAAGATTCTTGACAGCCATGTGACCTTGAACTATTCATTTTTTCTCTCTGAGCTTCTTTTTTACCTATAAGATGGCCTCTCATATCCTATGCCCCGTGGTTCTTTGTTTTTAAATATTTAGAAATATTTCAAGCGGACTTTTTTAAAATGTCAAAGTGTCTATGCATCACTAAATTAAAAACAAACAAACAGAGTGTGTTTGTAACTAAAGTGTGACAAGGGGGTTCAATAGGAATAGCAAATATGTACTTGGCATCCACTCTGTACCCGGCACTGCTCTGGGGGTGGGGGAAGGCAACAAACAAGCTAACAATTAACAAATGAACATGAATATAAACTGAGGTAGTGATAAATATCAAGAAGAAAAAATAAACAGAGGCAAGATTAGAGTGGCAGGGGTTGCTACTTTTGATAGGATGGTCAAGAAAGGACTCTCTGAAGAGAAAGAATTTGAGCAGAGATCTGAATGAAGAAAGGGCAGTTCATGTGGCCATCTGACATAAGCTTATTCCAGGCCAGGGGAGGGGAGTGAGTGCTAACATCTGACATGGGGACAAGCTCAGTGTTGATGTATTATCATCATCTGGAGGGTTCTTGATTCTCCTGAAACTCCCAAATATGACCTTCTACTACACACAAATATCCCGAACCTCCTAATATTTTGGGTTTTTTTCTTCCTCTGTGCCTGCAATAAAATCCAGAGAAGAGATAGGTATTAAACTCCCTGTAATTCCTTGATTACCACACCATGTTTAATTTTTGACAATTCCATCTGTGGCAGAAACTTAATTATTAGCCTTGATCTTCCTTCTTACTTTTCTTGACAATTAAGCCAAATGATAATTCTCTACAAAGCAATAGAAAGTGAAAAACTGAAAGAAAAAGTCTTGCTTTGAGCTTATTATTTGTACCTTGGAAACTGATTTCTGTCCCAACTTCCAGAAGCCTAAGTGAGAATGTGATTTTTACTGTTCAGTCATTTTGGCAGACTTCAGGATGTAGGTTTGGAAAGCCTGGAATATACATGAAAGTCATTGATCTAAATTTATTTACTCTTGGAGAGAATAATAACAGCAGTTTTTAATGTAATAGAAAAATCTTTGGCATGCTGAAAGAGCCAACCAAGCCATTTGGAAATAAATATTTTACCTATATAAAATACTTTTGATTGATTGGGGACAAATACTTAAAGTTTGTGCCAATTAATGAGCTTCAAAAAAAACATATGGGCTAAAGAGTGAAGGAAGCAAAATCCTGGTAAAGCATATAAAAAATAGAAAAATCTCTGGAGACATTTGGCGAATGCCATATGTGGCTGGATTCAACCTTCCATGTGCAATGTTAGGGTTCTCGATAATATAATAAATTATATTTTGTCAGTATTTAAATCAAAATAGCAAACATAATGATGCATGTAGCTAAGATATACCTTTTGGAGGGTAGGTCAGAAGCCATGCTAAGAAAGCTCAGCCTTTGTCATTAAAAAATGCCTGTGTATTTAAGGAAACACATCAAACTTGAATAGACACTTCTCCAGAGAAGACATTCAAATGGCCAACAGGTGTAGGGAAAGATGCTCAATGTCACTAATCATGCAAAACAAGTCCACGATGAGATACCACCTCACACCTGTTAGGATGGCTACTATCAAAAAGCAAAAGATAAAAGATGTTGGCAAGGATGCGGAAAATTAGAATGCTTGCACAGTGCTGGTAGGAATGAAAAACGGTGCAGCCACTATTAAAAACAGGACAGAGATTCCTCAAAAACTTAAAAATAGAACTAGCGTATATTCCAGCAATCCTATTTCTAGGTTGTATCCAAAATAATTGAAATCAGGATAGGAAAAAGAGGTCTGCACTCCCATGTTATTGAAGCATAATTCATAATAGCCCGAATGTAGAAACAACCTAAATTTCCATCAACAGATGGATGAATAAAGAAAATGTGGTATATACATGCAATGGGATATTACTCAGCCTTAAAAAGAAGGAAAGCTACCATTTCAACATGGATGGACCTAGAGGGCATTATGCTGAGTGAAATAAGCCAGTCACAGAAAGACAAATACTACATGATTCCACTTACAGGAAGTATCTAAAATAGTCAAGCTCACAGAAGCAGAGAATAGAACGGTAGTTACTTAAGGGGGGACACAGAAAGGGGGATTGCTGTTCAGACTACAAAGTTTCAGTTACGCTAGATGAATAAGCAGATCTGCCGTAGAACGTAATACCTATAGTTAACAACACTGTAATGTGTACAAAAAAGTTTACTGAGAGGGTAAATGTCATGTTAAGAATTCTTACCAAAATAAAGAAGAAACAAAGAACATAGCCTTTGTCACCAACCCTGTAACCAAAAATAAACTCAAGCAAACTATATTAAAATACAGTGGAAAGGGCTTCCCTGGTGGTGCAGTGGTTGAGAGTCCGCCTGCCGATGCAGGAGATGCGGGTTCGTGCCCCGGTCCGGGAAGATCCCACATGCCGCGGAGCGGCTGGGCCCGTGAGCCATGGCCGCTGAACCTGCGCGTCCAGAGCCTGTGCTCTGCAACAGGAGAGGCCACAACAGTGAGAGGCCCGCGTACCGCAAAAAAAGAAAAAAAAAGAAATACAGTGGAAAGAAAAGAAATAAAAAAAAAATAAAGAAACACATCATTCTGTTGAATGGCTGGTTTGAAATGACCTGACCATCAACACTACTCAGAATTTTTTCCTATTAAATTGTGGGTGTTAAAACTCCCTGGCTTCAGCTTTCTGCAGGGAACAGAGCACAGACTCTGTCAAGCACCAGTTACAGCTTCCTAGTAATTCTGAGAAGAAACCTTGCCAGGCACAAATGTTCCAAACTCTGCTGAGAACTTGGCCACTGGAATGTCACCTAGGAACGTGGTCATTGATCCCAGCCCAGCAGCTTTGGAACAATTGCTGACAGCATCCAAGATATTCTTTTTTGCCACTCCCTAAACTTCTCAAGAGCTCAGACCATATTTCTCAGTATAAGAAGCCAATCTGCCTAATGATATTAAAAGCCCAATATTCAAGTCCCAGTGTTAGATGCTGTGGTTTCCATCTATGTTTCTGTTGATTTATAAGCAAAGTAGAGAAGCAGTAGAATGTAGTGATTAAGGAAGACTCTGGAGACAGAGAGCTTAAATCCTGCCTTACTTGGCAAGTTGTTGTTTGGCTTCTGTTCACCTTAATTTCCTCACCTAAAAAGCAGGGTTGATAACTGAAACAACATGAAGGGTTGTTTTGAGAATTAAATGAGTTAATATATGTAAAGGCTTAGTTGAATGTCTTGTAGGTGGAAAGCCTTCTGTGACTGCTATTCCTATTTGTAGTAGGCTGAAAAATGTCCCCCAAAGATATCAGCCTTTAACCCCTGGAACCTTGAATATTACTTTACATGTATGTGATATGATTAAGTTAAGAATCTTGAGATGCAGAGATTCTCTTGGATTATCCAGATGGGCCCTAAATACAATCCCATGTATCCTTAAAGAGAAGGGCAAAGGGAAATTTAAAGTTGACATAAGAGGAGACAGATAGAAGGGGATAAGGCCATGAGACCATGGAGGCACAGACTGGCATGATGCAGCCAGGACTCAAAGAATGCCGGCAGCCACCAGAAGCGGGGCCGAACATGGAACAGATTCTCCCCCAGAGCCTGCAGAGGTAGCGTGAACTGCAATACCCTGATATGGGCTCCGTGATACTGATTTCAGATTTCTGGCTTCCAGAACTGCGAGAAAATACATTTTTGTTGTTTTAAACCACCAAGTTTGTGGTAATTTGTTAAAGCAGCCATAAAAAAAACTAATACACCATCATAAATGTGATAGATTAAATTATTGGCCCAACTTTTCACCTCTTCCTGTATCCATGATCTTTGCATGTGACTTGGCAGTTTTTCCCACCAGGGGTAGAATATACTTCCCCACACCACTGATGCAATTCTTTTTGCCAATAAAATGTGGGTAGAGAAGATAGTATGTCATCTCCAAGCCTAGGCTTTCAGAGACATCCTGTGTTTCCACTTTCCTCCCTTGCTTGTCTTCTATGAGATGGTCATTTCTCAGAGAGTCAAGTAGCAGAAATATGTAGAAACACAGGAGAGATACAAACTAAACTCAAGACCTACAGCCAACTTTAGACACACATAGTGAAAATAAGTGATTTTGCAATTATTTGATACACAGAAATACCTGACTGCTGCAAGTATTAATGTGATATTGATGTGATATATTAAAGGTAAAAATTAAGGGGTTTTTGCTAATATCTGCCATTCCCCTAGACAGCTTAGTGGGTTAGGGTGGGATTATATCACTCAACTAAAAATTTTACCCATAACTAAGCCATCCATCTCACAAAAACAAAATGGGATAAATAAGGGTAAATTCATTGCTACTACTTGGCGAGTGGCACAAATAGTTTAGCAATTACCAACTCCGTTGATTAAAGCCAGTCCTAGACACAATTGTGAAAGAAGCATTGTGTGTTTTCTTGGTATTCCATTCATCTTCATTCCAGCTCCATTAAAACCAGACTTTCACTGTGTTCCTTCTTAGGTGAAAAGCACAATGAAATTTCATAAGAAAGAAAAATGACAACTTTAAGTTTTCTGGCCTGAAAGATAATAGCATAGTACTTATGTTGGTTAATTTTATGTGTCAACTTAACCAGGCTGTTGTACCCAGTTATTTAATCAAACACTAATTTCAGTGTTTCTGGCAAAGTATTTTGTAAATGTGTTTAACATCTACAATCCCTTGACTTTAAGTTAAGGGGATCACCGTTGATGATATGTGTGGGCC